GGTGCTGGTGCTGGTGCTGGTGCTGGTGCTGGTGCGGGTGCGGGCGCGGGTGCGGGTGCGGGTGCGGGTGCGGGTGCGGGTGCGGGTGCGGGTGCGGGTGTGGGTGTGGGGGTGGGTGGGTGTGTGTGTGTGTGTGTGTGTGTGTGTGGGTGGGTGTGGGTGTGCGTGCGTGTGTGTGTGTGTGTGTTTGTTTGTTTCTGTTTGTGTTTCAGCCCAGCCTGGAACGAATAGATGATTCAGAGGGGAATGGGGAAGAACCTCCCGTGTCAGGAGGGAAGCAGTGTGCTGGGACCTGCAAATAGGACGTCTCCCACTGCGCATGGGAAACACCAGTTTCAGGCGCGCAGTCACCGGACGCTGCGTTGTCTGAATCAGAAAGATTGCGCATGGAAGGCACCTTTCCTAGGATCTGGGCACTTCGAGCCGAAAATCCAGAGGAAGCTGCATGGCCGAATTTGTCCAAGGCAGAGATGTGCGAGGAAGATGCCCTAGCCCCGGCACGGCCCAGTAAAGATTGACAGAAACGAGAGCCTGCCTCGGGCGCAAATCTGCAAGGCTCTTACTCGAAGGCCGAAGGCCGTGATCACCTGGCAACAGTTGCCAGGCTTTGCTGCGATTCGTGCGAAGCGAGCTCTGGAGTGGAGCGGTTGAATTGAGATGCCGCCGGCCTGACCGAGCATAGCCGGGGGCAGTCGTGTCCCATGGACAGAGCACAGGGTTGCTCATGCTTATGACCCACTCACTCTGAAGATGCTCTGCAGAGTGGACTCCATGTCCATGCGAAATGACTTCCAACGTGTGATTCAGTCTTTCGGCGTTCTGGAACAGCTGCAAAGAGAGCTCGCATGCCAGCCGATGTGAATGCTAGCTCTGCCAGCCCCGCGTTGTGCAGAAATTGGCTGGCTTATACGGGTAACCGTTAAGCTGTAATGGAAGCGAAACATGATTCGCCTGACCCTTCTAAGTCAATCGCATGCTGCCGTCAGCGCCCGTGCAGTCGTTGGCACGCTTGCAGCCTGAAAGCTTCCTGGTGCAGTGAAACGAGGAAGTGCACGTTGTTCATGCACAGCCCTCTGAGCTCTTTTTAAACTCAACTACAGGCCGAGTTCAGACGAGGCAGCAAGGGCGTTGTCCTGCCGAAGCTTGAAGGCAGGGAGGGGAAGCGGCTGCCAGATTCCCGGCTGAGTCGACCGCAAGCCAACTTCGGCAAAAACAGATGTCGACATGTCGAAAACAGAACCACGACCTCAACGAGAAGCGCGCCTAACCACCGCTGTTCCCCAAAACAGTGTGGTGACACTATTGGGTTCTTGCCCGGGAGTAAAGAGTGTTGATTGAGTTTACCGCGCGTTGAAAGAGAGCTCCCCGCATCCTGCTATTATCAGCAGATTAACAGGATGTTCGCGGAGCGCGTCTCTCGCTGTGGTGTGGGATGGTGTGGGGCAGGTTTTTCCTTGACTTCATTGCAAAGACTACTTGGAGGATCATGGGACTTAGTAACTAGTAACTAGGGTTATAAATAAGGTAACTATAATTATAGAACCCCAACCAGGGTACCTATAACCTTACTAACTATGTCCCATGATCCTCCAAGTAGGGCTTCGAATGCACCAGTACTCGGGGGAAAGCATTCTGGCAGTGTCCTGCTGGTCTCCTGGTGGTCTCGTCTTCTGGTGATCTCTTGGGTGCTTGGAGGATCATGGGACTTAGTAAGTAGGGTTATAAGTACCCTAATTGGTGTTATAATTACAAATACTTTATTTATAACCCCAGTTACTAAGTCCCATGATCCTCCAAGTGGTCTCTTGTTGTCATGGTGCTCACTTGCTGGTCTCCGGTCGCAGTGCTCGCCATGTGTAGCAACGTGGCACAACGGCTGGAAAAACACAGATGGCCGACCTGCGTTGTCCCAGTTCAGGCCCGTGCGCATGTGACAGTGTTCGTGATCTCCGCCGGTAGAAACATTTTGGAAGCGCGTTGACTACCCCCTTCGTCGTGCAAAGTGCCGGCACCTGCAGATGGAGTTTCAGAGCTCTGCCTCCTGCTTGCTGCCCCTATCCACACTGCCAGCGGCATGGTAAATCGAGAACAGCTGCAAGTGAAAATGAAGCTAAGGGCAGGGATGGGATTGCATCCAGAAGGTGGCCTGCATTGGACATGGCCTCATCGTGCGTGATCTGAGTCGTACCTTCGCAGTTTCACTCGCTGCCAACTCCAAAACAAAATTGGGGAGCCAGACCATCCCGCACCCAGGTCTGAAAGCCATGAAGAGTATCCGAAGCCTCACAAGCAGACGTGACCTTGAAGCCCACATTGACATAGACTGAAAGGGGCGTCCGGACTGGGAGCTTCAGGCACTCGAGGACAAGAAGGGGCTTCCAGCTATAGCGGATCTCTCGGGTGTAGCGAATGCAGAGCTCCACTCGCTTTTGATGGCACCAGGGCCTGTGCGGTGCGTGGCAGGAGAAGATTTCCTCAAAAGAAGCTTCCCTCTGAGAAGCTCCTCGAATTTGGGCGACGTGCTCATCGATGCGATGGTGTCGAGTGAAACTTGCTGATGTCCATGACCCTGGCAAAACGAACATTCTGGAACTGCCATTATCGGACTCGGATCTTCCCGAGTAATCCATGGACTCAAGCTACATTATCATTGAAACACTCAGTCAAATTTCGAAAGTTGACTCTTCCGACACATCGGACGTGGCCGTCACTTCCCCCACATTCTCGCCTTTGACATCAGACATCTCCAATGTCACCTGGGGTGATGCAGCTTTCTTCCGCCCTTTAGAAGGTGCGCCTCCGATCAGGACTGACTTCCGGCAGGAGCATAGATGACGAAGACCGACGGCCACACTGCAAAGGACAACCAAGCTGAGCAAGTACATGGGCAGGGGATCCATGGGCGATGTCATGCTCGTCCAATTTTCCCTGCTAATTGCGATGCAGACAAGATAGCCCACGATGAAAAGCAAGCTCATGAGGAGCAAGGACATCGCTTGGCAAGCGATAAAGATGCACCTGAACCAAGACCGATTCCACCACGAAGTGCTGGCTTTGCCTAGCATCAGAAGACTGCGCAGGAAGATCGGCATGCAAAACAACATGTAGACAGCGAGGCCAAAGTTGTTGATCGGATTCGGACGCGGCCAGACTTGCACGGCTCTGGCACCCTCCTTGCCAATGAAGTCGCACAAAAAGGGGAGGGAACCGATCGCAGCGGCGGACATCAACGGGCGCATGAGAATCCCACTGTGTGTAAAGGCCTGCTCAACTGATTCTCGCAAGTGCTTGTCCAAGTGGCTCTTGAAGACACCCTGGATACGCCGCTCACTCCCTTCCTCCAACACAGTAGTGCCGAAAGACCACAACTGCAATACGCCATAGATGAGCTCACGGTCACATTGGATCTGCTCTCCAGTCACAGATTGCCGATGATTCGTAGAGCAGCAAAGGCATTCGGCTGTCTCGATATTGAAGCTTCGCAGCTGTTCGGGCAACTGGGCCATGTCGAACAGCATCTGGTTCAGGAGATAAAACAGGGGCGGATACAGGATCCCAACCTGAACTGCAATCATTGCCCCAACATTGATCTTCCCGCTAGTTTCGTGCCAGTCGAAGAGCTCGTTCCCGAACCTTTGGACCAGCAGGAAGGACAGCCAAGTCGTTGACACAGCAAAGTAAGTCAGGATCCATATGACGGAAATTTGCACGGGCAGGAACTTGATTCGATTCGCGTCCTTGCGCTTAATCAGGAAGCAGGCAATCTCGTACCTGATGAGCAGGACAGGGCAGGGCAATCGCTTCCGGGCACTTCGCTACACCAACCCCAACAATCGTAACTGCCTAAGACAAAGCTAACAAGCCGCTAAAGCCGTAAACCCTAAACCCAAAAATCCTACGTCCATAGCCTCATTCGAAAAAACGGCGGACGGCCAGGGCCCTATCGGACCATTCGTAAGCAACACCGGGCTACATAGTGGTTTTCGGTTTACGGTTCAGGCCACACCCCCTCCAGCCACTTTTGCCTCATGACCACTTTTGCCTCATGACCTCTTCCACCGTAACCCTGCGGGAGTTACAAAAGCAACCCCACTACGGGGACCTGGAAAATAGCGACTGATCCACTCTCTCGCGACTAGACAGGATCAAAGGGCATGCACCACAATCGGCGACAGTATCTCGGAGACCACAGCACGATGAGATCGTCGGCTTTGTCCAGGAAGGAGGCCAGGGCATAAATGCATTCGGTTTTCTTCTCTGGGTCATCTTGAGGTATACACAAACGATCCAGAAAGCCAAAGCGGATCCCCCAGAAAAGTTCACGCAGGTGTTGCCAGAAGAGCAGGAAACTCATTCCGACCACATGCCCAAGCACTGTCCACCAAGCAGTCCTGGGTAGAATCCATCCATCCGGCATATCTGGTGTCCACGCACCGAGGACACCTAGTGCCAGGCTCATGATGCAGGTTGCTGTTGCGGCTGCACGGCTGTTGAAGTAAATCACCAGTGACAGGTATTTCGTCCACCCCGATGTTTCCCAATCATGACTGAAGAAAAAACTGTAGCGCTGCGTCTGCTTGGAAAGTTCCGCCCTCCACGACAAGGATCCTGGCTCGCTTCCCCGTCTCCATTCTACCCCAAAGCGTCTTAAGATGTTGCTCATGGGCACTCCTCGCACCAGCTCAGGCTGCACATCTACCAGCAAATCTTCTGATCGCCTGGGCAGACGAGGGGCCTACTAGTCCTGGTCAGAAGCACTGGTCAAACAAGGTCTTCCAGAACTCAACCGACAAAGCTTCATGGCAAACCTTTAGCCTGTCAATTATGTGCGTGTTTCAGCCCAGCCTGGAACGAATAGATGACTCAGAGAGGAATGGGAAAGAACCTCCCGTGTCAGGAGGGAAGCAGTGTGCTGCACCTGCGCACGGGACCTGCAAACAGGACGTCTCCCACTGCGCATGGGAAACATCAGTTTCAGGCGCGCAGTCACCGGACGCTGCGTTGTCTGAATCAGAAAGATTGCGCATGGAAGGCACCCTTCCTAGGATCTGGGCACTTCGAGCCGAAAATCTAGAGGAAGCCGCATGGCCGAAGTTGTCCAAGGCTGAGACGTGGGATGAAGATGGCCTAGCCCCGGCACGGCCCAGTAAAGATTGACAGAAACGAGGCCTGCCTCGGGAAGCAAATCTGCAAGGCTCCTACTCGAAGGCAAAAGGCCGTGATCACCTGGCAACAGGTGCCAGGCTTTGCTGCGATGCTTGCAGCTGTGGAATCGGCAATGCCCGGCCTTGGCCGAGCATGGCAGTGATGGCCATGGAGGGCAGAAAGGGGGTCGCGCGTATGAAGCGGAACTCAGGGTGCTCGGATGCTCCGCTAGGCCCTTCTTGCCCATGTGAGTTCTAGGTCAATGGCACAGAGACGGGCTGGGGCCAGGGCTGCAAGACGTATGATTCGACTGTTATCATGCACTTTCATAGCGAGATATCCCGGAAGCTTGTGGCTTTGTGTCCATCGCATGCTGCCGTCAGCGCGCGTGCAGTCGTTGGCACGCTTGCAGACTCCAAGCTTCCTGGTGAAGTGAAACGAAGGAAGTGCACGTTGTTCATGCACAACCCTCTGAGCTCTTTTTAAACTCAACTACAGGCCGAGTTCAGACGAGAGAGTGAGCAAGGGCGTTGTCCTGCCGAAGCTTAAGAAGGCAGCTGGAGGATGGGACTCGCGGACACCAGATTCCCGGCTGAGTCGGCCGCAAGCGCGCAGCAGGGCTGGTGACTCCGCGTACACGACATCACATCGCCAGTACCTGCGCTGAGCATCTTCAAGGTCTCGAGCACCCCGGGGCCGGGCCCCTACATGAGCACTTCAAGGCAGATGGTTTAGGGGTATATTATACTAAAATTCTACTAAAGAACCACCCAAAACCCTTTTCTAATTACTAAGGCCCCTACATTAGCACAAGGCTGGCGCAACGGAAGGTCTACGTCTGCTTGAGCACCGGAAAGTCGACTGCCTTCTGTCGGAGAGCACCAGCTTAGCTGGGCTTTGAAGTAACCAGGGAGAAAAAAGTATAGACTTTTATTCTATAATGGTTCCTTTAAGGAACAGGTCGCAAAAAAAAGTATTAAAGTATGGTACTCCAAAGCCCAGTTAATTACCAATGGAGTGAGGCAGTTTGGAGGGGTTAAGCTTGGCTGCAGTTCAGTTCCCAGTTTGTTGTGTGACACCGCATGTTGCCACTACCATTTGCTAGAATCTAGACCCTCCTAGACGATACCGCTTGCTGGCAACAATCATCCTCAGGGAGCTGTGCAGAATTGAAGCCCCGCTGCGCACCAAAGCTTCCCGGGGCCATCTCCGGCTGGAAGGATGCGGGCGGTATAGTGTAGGTCCGGCCTGACTAAGACTTTGCAGCCGAAGCAAAGAACATTCCGAAATTCTCGCAGACGTTCATTTAGGAGCCGGTACTTTTTACTTGCTGATTTCTTCTTCTTCCTCTTTGCGATGTTGCTTCTCTCATTGCAGGGCCGCGGCGGCAATCAGCTTTCGAGCTGGGTCACTGCTTTCTACCCTTGCCCAGATCTGGCTGGTGAAAGAGTTACGTGCTCTGCTCGTCAGGCAACGACTGTCATGCATCAGTTTCCGGCCAGACGAGCGGTGACAGGCATAAGCCCGCTCGGTACGTGGGGAGAACGGAGGATTTCTCGTCCCGTCACTGTTAACACCAGGCTGCGAACCAAAAAAGAAGTGACGCGTCAGGCCGCCGCGGAGTTTGAGGGAATGCTCTCGGCCCAAATCTAAACTCTTAACCTGGAGCCTCTTCCCAGCCTCAAGCCCCTTCTCCGAGGGCCCCGCGACCACAAGGAGCTCACAGCGACCCCGGCCTCAAAGTTTCGAGGCTACTACTGCACAGCGTCGGCTGTTCTGATACTTTGGACCGTGCTTGCAAGCCTTTTCATACCATCGCATCGATTGGGTTGCTTCTAGCGAAAATGAGGTTTGCGATTCTGTCGCGACATGCGCGCATGACGACTTTTCGGCATGCACGCACAGAAGCCACGACTGTTGGTAGTCTCGACTACTAGTCGCATGCAGCCTTGACCGCAACATGCATTACGTAAGACATCAGCAATGTGCGAGCGGGAACCATCTTCGTGAAACAACACAGTCTTCATTCGGCTGAATCCGTGCAAGAGCAATGTTCAAAGCAGTAATCCTCGCATGTTGCTGAGTACCTGCAGGCAGAGTAAGGGATTATATTAAGTAACTAGTACTTGCAGCGATATTTAGTAAGACCAGTGCACTCGGCGACAACAGCAGCAGTAGAAAAAGTTGCATCACCAATGCTGCGTCTCTTGCTACCGGTAGTAGCACTGGTCAGGATTGCTAGAATAGGATTAACTCGAGCAATGCTACAAAGCCTGCGAATAGTAGTGTGCGCATTACCAGCAACAGTCGAGAGTCCTGGTAGTAGCAGATTTGTCAGCATCAGCGACAGCAATGAATAGCAGTGGAGTTAACAGCAGTAGCAGCCATAAGAGCCTGGTGGTACCAGCCCTACATACCCCAGAACCTTTTCTGGACCCTCATGATTGAAAATGTGGCGGGAGCCCGATTTGCACCCCAGAACACTCACCGCATTGTGACTGAGATCACCATAAATGTGCGGAGAGTTTGGTGGGAAGACGAACTGCATCCCAAAATGCTCACGATTGGACCATAACCCCGCAGACTGAACCCTAAACCCTAAACCCCAAACCCTAAACCCTAAACCCTAAACGGAGACCAGGAGCCGAATAGTGTGGCCCCGACTTCGAACGATCAAATCACGAGCAGCACGGGACGTGTGAGAGTCTGCAGGGCCGGGTGCTCCCGGAAAAGCCTTCTCTGAATCCGAGTTGTCGTAGAGCTGTCTCGAAAGAAGTGTTGTCAGCAGGAAATGCATTGAAAGGGCCGGAAACGAAGGCTGAATGCAACTGAATCCCAAAGACCTCGAGCAAACAAAACCACGGCAGGGTACTTGGAGGATCATGGGACTTAGTAAGTAGGGTTATAAGTACCCTGATTGGGGTTATAATTATAGTTACCTTATTTATAACCCTAGTTACTAAGTCCCATGATCCTCCAACTAGAAGACCTGTCCTGTCCGGGCCTCCTCCACTTCCGGGGAGGCGATCACGTGATGGAATTGTGATCTGCCTCGCCCGATATTTTTATCTGACATAACAGACACACTGGCTGCTAAAAAACCTAGCGGTAACTAACACAAAGAGGTATGGTCAGCTGTGGTGGGGGGAGGCAACACTTGCGGTGGTAGTGACTTAGTAGTAATACAGTGCCATGTAGCAGCGGCAGTAGGAGTAGAAGAAGCAGCAGCCGCCGCAGTAGCGGCTCAGTAGCGGCAGTAGCAGCAGTCGTCGTTGTCGTCGTCGTAGTAGTCGTAGTAGCAATCGTAGACGCAGTATTCGTAATCGTAGTCGTGGTCCCCGTCATCGTCGTTTTCAACGTGGAGATTGTTGTTGTTGTTGTTGCTGTTGCTGTTGCTCTTGCTGTTGCTGTTGCTGTTGCTGTTGCTGCTGTTGTTGTTGTGGT